TGGGCGTGGGGCAGGTTTGGTGGTGTGGGGCGTGGTTGGGGGCGTGGGGTGGGCTTGGAGATGTGAGATGGAGTTGGAGACGTGGGATGGGGCTGGTGGTGTGGGACAGGGACAGTATGGGGCGGGGTTGGTGGTGTGGGAGGGGGACAGTGTGGGGCAGAGGAGGTGGTGTGGGACGTAGGAGCCATGTTTGCTTCCCCTTGCCCCCACCAGATCTGGCAGACGTTCTTCGAGGGGCGCTACCTCATCCTGCTCATGGGGGCCTTCTCCATCTACACCGGCTTCATCTACAACGAGTGCTTCAGCAAAGCCACCGTCATCTTCCCCTCTGCCTGGAGCGTGGCCACCATGGCCAACCACTCCTCCTGGAGGTGGGACCCCCAACCCCTCTGTGACCCCCTCCCCAGGTCCCTACCTGGGCTGACACCCCCTTGTTCTGCCCACAGCTCTGCCTACCTCGCCACCCACCCGACCCTCACCCTGGACCCCAACGTCACCGGCGTCTTCCGAGGGCCCTATCCTTTTGGGATTGACCCAGTGAGTGTCCCGTGGGGGAGAGGACAGGCTGGGACACTCAGTGGGGTGGCCCAGGGTCTCACCCACCTCGTCTATGGCAGATCTGGAGCTTGGCCACCAACCACCTCAACTTCCTCAACTCCTTCAAGATGAAGATGTCGGTGGTGCTGGGCATCGTGCACATGGGCTTTGGTGTCTTCTTGGGGGTCTTCAACCACGTGTGAGTCCCCGTGGCTGCACCCATGGGCTCTGGCCACCCACGGTCAAGCCAAGGTGACCTGGGCTGGTGGGGTGGGCGAGGACATGTGAGGTTGAGCGTGGCTGATGTCCCCTTCCCCAGGCACTTCCAGCAGCGGCACCGGTTGGTGCTGGAGTTCCTGCCTGAGATGGTTTTCCTCCTGGCGCTCTTCGGCTACCTCGTCTTCCTCATCTTCTACAAGTGGATCACCTTCAGCGCCGCCAACTCCCTGGTGGCCCCCAGCATCCTCATCCACTTCATCGACATGTTCCTCTTCACCTCCAACGACAGCAACCTCCCGCTCTACCGGGGGCAGGTAGCACCCCACCGAGATTGGGGACACCCAACTGGGGACCCTTCTCTTTGCCCAAGCGGGGAGCCCCGGGGGGAAGCTGGTGGGGTGGGGAGGGGTGTCATGAGTTGGGGCCGTTCTCAGCTGGAGGGGATGATGTCCCTGTGCCACAGGTGGCAGTGCAGACCGTGCTGGTGGTGCTGGCGCTGGCGTCAGTGCCCGTCCTGCTCCTGGGGACACCTCTCTACCTGTGCTGCCGGCAGCGTGCCACGAGGACGGGCCACCATGGGGTAAGGCTGGGGTGATGGTGGGGAGGGGGGTTCAGATCTCAGGTGGGGTGGAGGACACGGCCGGGTCTCACCACCGATGATGTCCCCACCCAGCAGATGACCACCGAGGAGCAGGAGCCGCTTCTGGAGGGGCAGGAGGCCGGCAACTCCGTCAACGCCACCAAGGAGGACGTGGAGAGCGGGGGGCACAGCCCTGACTCCAAGGTGAGGGGGGCTGAGGTGGTGGGGTTGAGGTGGCCGTGCCCTCTGCTGATGTCCTCTGTCCCCTCTGTCTCTGCAGCACCTGGACTTTGCTGAGATCTTCATGCACCAGGCCATCCACACCATGAGGAGCAGGAGCCGCTGCTGGAGGGGCAGGAGGCCGGCAACTCCGTCAACGCCACCAAGGAGGACGTGGAGAGCGGGGGGCACAGCCCTGACTCCGAGGTGAGGGGCGCTGGGGTGGTGGGGTTGAGGTGGCCGGGCCCCCCGCTGATGTCCTCTGTCCCCTCTGTCTCCGCAGCACCTGGACTTTGCCGAGATCTTCATGCACCAGGCCATCCACACCATCGAGTACTGCCTGGGTTGTGTCTCCAACACCGCCTCCTACCTCCGCCTCTGGGCCCTCAGCCTGGCCCATGCCCGTGAGTTGTCCCCCCACCCCCCAACTCCCCCAGCCCTGGGGACCGTGCAGAGCCTGACCCCTCTGTCATCCCCCCACCCCCCAAAAAAAAGAGCTCTCGGAGGTCCTGTGGACCATGGTGATGCGCAACGGCTTCGTGGGGCTGAGCTACGTCGGGGGGGTGGTGCTGGTGCCCGTCTTCGCCGCCTTCGCCGTGCTGACGGTGGCCATCTTGCTGGTGATGGAGGGGCTCTCCGCCTTCCTCCACGCTCTCCGCCTGCACTGGTGAGCCCCCCACCTCAACGCTAGGATGGGGTGATTGATATCTTCTCCCCACCCACCAAACAACCCCCATGGCAGCTCCTCACCCACCCCTTCTCTTCCAGGGTGGAATTCCAGAATAAGTTTTACGTGGGCGCCGGGTACAAGTTGTGTCCCTTCGCCTTCGCCGTTGACACCGGGGAGTAGCCGTGCCGTGGGGGGTTTGGGGGGGGCTCGGAGCATCCCCTGGGGGACACACACCCCATGGGGTGCCCCCCATCACTGCTGCCCGTAGCCGAAATTGGGGGCCGCGGCGGTGCCGTAAGGGCTGAGGGGGGGGAAGGTGGGCAGGGGGTAGGGGAGGGCACGGGGCTTGGCCCCCACGTAGATACCGGGGGGGCAGGCGAGAGGCTGGAAGGGGGGCACGGGCAGCTCGGGGGGAGCTGTCGGTGGGGCTGGTTGTGGGGTGACGGTGGTGGCCAGTGCCCCACGGCTGCGGGGAGCCCCCGAGGGGGGGAGAGACAGCAAGAGGGGGTCATTACCCCCCCCAACTCCGGCCCCCCTACCTTTCTCCGGCTTCTCGGGGCGGGAGGGCAGCGCGGTGGCCCGGGCACGGGGCAAGGAGCCCAGCAGGGACCCCGCTGGCACCCCACACCTGTGAGAGAGATTGGGGAGGGGGGCACGGCGCTCAGGGGGAGGCGAGGAGCCCCTCATCGTGGTGGTTTTGGGGCAGGGGTGGTGAACTTACCACGGCTCGGGCTCGCCATCCCGAAATCCCTTGGCGAAGGGGTTGCTGGCGATCTTCAGCTGGGTGATCTACGGAGGGGAGCGGGGTCAGGGGGTCTCTGGGATATTGGGGGGACACACACAACATTGGGGTGTCCCCTGTCCCCCCACCTTTGCCCAGCTCACCCGGTGGTTCTGATAAGCCGTCACCGCCATGAACTGGGTCTCGGGGAAGCTGAAGGACTTGAAGTTCTGGTGGGCGAAGCGCTCGCTGTCCCGCCGGGGGTCCACGAAGACCACGTGGAAGCGGGGCTGGTAGCGGTGCATGGAGTTGAGGATGATCTAGGGTGAGGAAAGGGGGCATGGAAAGAGAGAAGGGAAGGTGGTCAGGACACCCCTATGGAGGTGCACATGGTGTCCCCCCTGCCCCACCGCCCACCCCGGGAGCGGGTCCTCACGTGGCCGTTGTCGTCCAGGAGGTTGTTGGTCAACTTGAGCTTGTCGAAGGAGACGATTTGCCGCATCCACTGGGCCCCCTTGGCAGGGGAATCGGGGTGGAAGTGGACACGTCCGGGGGCTGCCGGGTCGGCACGTCCTGCTGCCAGCCAGGAGGAGCTGTGGAAGGCGTACCTGCAGGGTGTGGGGGGGCTCAGCACCACCAGGATCCGCCCCCCCCGCCATCCCTCCACCCCAACACCCCCATCCCCACCTGTATCTCTTGTCATCCAACGGGACAAAGTCCATGAGCAAGACGTAGTCAGCCAAGGGGTCCAGCCCCGAGAGCTTCACTTGGAAGGTGGGGAACATCCTCCTGCAGGGGAAAAAAGGGGGGTGGGAAAGGGGTGTCCCCCCCCAACCCTGGCAGCCCCCCCAACACCCAGAGCCCCACTGTGGTCCCTACCTGCCTGCCTTGGTGACAATCATCTCGGTCCCCAGGCGGTTGAACTCTTCCCAGAGGCTGCCCATCTCCAGCCGTGCGGCGGCGTGGCACACCTGCCGGTTCTTGCCACCGGCCCCCAGCCCCTCACTCGCCCACCCGAGGCTGGTGCCACAGGGGGGCCCCTCACCCGGCCCCCCCAAGAAGGCTGCAGAGGGATTGAGGGGCTGTCCCACATCCTGCACCCCAGATGTGGGAGCAGACCCCCGTGCATCACCAACCATCCCATCGCATCCTCCTTCCGTGGATGGAGTGGAAGGACACTCCCTCCCCCCGCACTGCAGTGGGGTTTAACCCCCCCATTGTGACCCACCACACCCCAAAAACACCACGGGACCCCAGTTCTGGGTCTGGGGTCCAGAGAGTGTTGCTGTGGGTGGGTTTTACCTGCCATGGGTGCAGCGGGTGGGCAGGAGGCGTCCGTAGCTCCGTCCCCCAGCTCAGTGGTGGTGGGGACCCCCAGGCAGCCCCCTCCCAGCGCAGCGCCAGCTCCACACTGTCCCCCCCTCCAGCCTGGCGGGGGGTTTTATACCCCAGCTTGGGGGTGGAGACGTGGGGGCCGGAGCACAGCCCCCTTCTTCAACCTGCCTTCATGCCTTGACGCGATGATGATGATGGACGGGAGGTGAGTGGTGGCCATGGGACCATTGGGACCACTGCCGGACCCCAGGCGCATCTCGGGGTGCCCTGGGCTGGGGGAGGGAGGGCTTTTTTGGGGGTCTCCTTCACATCACAGGTCTGAGTGGGGGGAGGTGGGGGCTGCTCCGACCCCCTCCCCTGTTGATGCCTCCCATCAACACCCGGTATTAAAATCCATGGCAAGGTGTTGAGACATCCTCGCCGTGCCCACCGCTCCTGCAAAGCCCCTGCGGCTCTGGGGAGGGGGTAAAAGGGCTCCCCCCTCCCCTGCACCCACCCCAAACGCTGGTCCCATCACTGTCTTGACCCCCCCACTCCACCCCACACCTCCCATGGGGATGCTCGATGCTGGCCTGACAGCGGGAGATGGATGGGGACACACCGGTGCCGCGGGGGCAAGGGATGTGTGTGGGGAGGTGACTGATGG